CCCCCCCCCCCCCACCTCTCTCTCCTTCTCCCTAGTCTCTCTCCATCTCTCCATCTCTCTCTCTCTCATCCCCCTCCATCGCCATCTCTCCATCTCTCTCTCCCATCGTCTCCCTCTCTGTCTCTCTCACCCCGTGGAAGGTGTGGCTCTTGGAGGCGGCCTCGATGTGGAAGTTTCCCGGAACGCGGTTGACCATGATGTGTCCCGTCACCATGCAGCCGGGCCACTTGTCATCGTGCAAACCTACCTCAGGGAACTCTTTCCTCCCTCTCTTTTGGTGTTTCATAGTCTGGATGGACCGGAATTAGAAAATGCGAAAATCAGGGAAACGGGGCGGTTAGAGTATATACATAGTATAACATGTGCTGTACCACACATTCGAAGTATGCTTGAAGCGGTAAAAGTAGCCTCGTGTGGCGGTGGAAGCCCCCCCCCCCCCGTCCATTCATGGATTGCTCGATTGCTACGTACGCATTCATGGATCAATCCATATTCAAGGGTCCAGGAAGACGGCGAAAGGAAAACATGATTTGGGATGGATCTCTCCCTCTCCCCTTCGTTCTTGGGTGGCTGAGGTGCAGTGCAGGACCCAACCCAACGTGTGCACCTACGTACGTAAACATGCACCGCATCCCCGTCCGTCAAGAGATCTACTAGATCTACGAAGAGCGACGAAAGGTCAAGACAGACCTCTCAACACAACGAGACACGCCGCCTCTTACCGCCACCGCCCACCTCAAGCACACACCATCTCATCTCATCTCATCTCATCTCATCTATATCGCTCGACTCTAACAAGAGGGATGATGTGAGAGAGGGAGAGGGAGAAAGAACACGATGCGACGCGACAAAAAATAAAAACAAGGCACCTTTCCGTCGGCCTTGGAGTAGAGGTAGGTGGAGAAAGCCTGCACCGTGCGGTCCCCGCTGTAATCTGGCTTCAAAAGCTTCTCCTCGTTGAACAGCTTCAGCGTCGGGAACGCCTGGGCGACCACGAGGCGGCGGCGAGGGGTCGGGGGTCGGGAGTCGGGGGTCGGGGGGATAATCACGATGTTGTTGCCATGCTCAATTTCTCCAAACGGAAAAAATAACAAACGCATTGGCCATGAAAACTCGCAAAACCAGTCTTCGTCTCGAAAACAAAAAAACACTCAATAGGAGACACTGCCGCCAGGAAGCTGTAGTGGGGGTGCACGCTGTCCACGCCAGGAT